CAGAATTGAAGGAGATATATAAAGACTTTCCAAGATAAGCCCAAACTAAAGGACTTCATGACGATTAAGCCAGTATTACAGAAGATACTTGACGGAGCACTGTCTTCAGAAGAGGAAGAATAGAAAAACAAATGGGTATTAATAACCAAATAAAACATCACAAAACAAAATGGCAATCACTGATATATAACTTTGAATAATAACCTTGAGGTAAATGCCTTAATGCTCCAATTAAAAGACACAAACTGGCAGATTGGTTTAAAAAGTAAGACCCAACATATAGGGTCTAGGGGTTGCTTGCAAAACATACCTCACCCACAAAGACATGCACAGAGTGGAAAATAAAAGGATGAAAAGTGATATTCTATGTAAATGGACTCTGAAAGTAAGCAGGAGTAACCCTATTCAAATCAAAGTAGACTTCAAGTTAAAATTACAGAAGAGACAAAGGTGACTACATATTGGCAAAGAGAATGATACACCAAGAAGAGGTAAGCATCTTAAACACATACACATGAACACTGATGACCCTAATTTTGTAAGAAATCACTATACCACATAAAGGAAGAGATAGATGCTAGTCCAGTTATAGTGGGTGATATCGATACCCAATTTCAAAAACAGACACAGGTATAGGACACTGTTAAGCTTTAGATCTCAAATGACTCTCCTATATCGCATGTGTCACAAGGGGACTGGACCAGGGGTTGCCAAAGATGGATTGCTGTTAGGAGGTGGGGCCTGGTTGGATGTGGGTCACTGGTGAGTGATCTGGAAAGCATATTCTTGTCCCCAGCTGCTCCTCTCTGTCTCTGCTTTCTGGCTGCCGTGGGATGAGCGGCTGTCCTCCACCAGACCCTTTCACCATGCTGTTTCTTAGAGCCAACCAAATTTGGACTGAACCCACTGGAAGTGATAAGCTAAATAAACTTCTCCTTTAAGTGGTGGCTATTGGGTATTTTATCCTAGCAATGACAAAATGACTAACATAGCCACCAAGACAAAAAAACAATCAAGAAAGAAGCATCAGAAGTAAACTACACTGCAGATCAAATGGACTTGAGATATCTACAGAGTGTTCCATCTGATAATAGCAGAATACATATTTTTTTCAGCAGCTCATGGGACTTTCTCCAAATAGATCACATTTTAGGCTATAAAATAAATCTTACAAATACAGAAAAGTGAAGTAATTTCATATATCTTATCTGATACAATGGAATGAAACTAAAAGTCAATATGAAAAACCACAGAAACTACGCAAATGCATGGAAATTTCACAGTACACTTTTAAGCAATCAGTGGATGATTGAAGAAAGCAGAGGAGGAATTTAAAAATTCCTAGAATAAAATAGTAATGGAAACACAACATACCAGTCTGTGGGATACAGTGAAAGCAGTTCTAAGAGGGAAGTTTACAGCTACGAGTACCTACATTCAAAAATCTGAGTGATCACAAATGGATAATCAACTGATACAGCTACCGGTCCTAGAAAAATAAGGACAAACTAAATTCAAACCCAATAGAAATAAATAGTAAACATCAGAGTTGAAATTAATGAAATGGACACGAAAAGAACGATACAAAGGATCAATACAAAAGAGTTGGTTCTTTGAAAAGATAAACAAGATTGATAAACCCTTACCCAAACTAACCAGAGAGATAAAACCCAAATTAGTAAAGCTAAGAGATGAAAAATGCAATGTTACAACAGAGATCATGAAACTCTAGAAGATTCTTGGGAACTATTTTGAAAGTTTATACTCCAAAAAGTTGGAAAATGTAGAAGAAATGAATAAATTCCTACATATCTACAATTGTACAAAAACTGTATCAAGGGGAAGCAGAAAAAAGATCAATAACAATCAGTGAGAAAAAAAATCAGTGAGATTGAAGCAGTAATAAAAAGTCTTCTAAAAGAGAAAAGTCCAGGAGTGGGCGATAGAACTAAGATATAGTTCTATCTTACCTGATCTTTAAAGAAGAATCAACATGAGTGCCCTTCAAAATATTCAGTGAAATAGGAAGGGAAAGAATGCAATTTGTTCTGTCAGCCTGGTACTCAAACTGGAAAAAGATGTGTCAGAGAAGAAAATTACTGGCCAATATCCTTGATGAATACAGGTGCAAAAATCCTCAAAAATATTCTGGTAGACAGAATCCAATACATGTGAGAAAGATTATACACCACGACCAAGTTGGTTTTATCCCAGGGATGCAAGGAGTTTCAACATACATAAATTAATTAATATAATATACCACATAAGTAGAATTGAGGATTAAGATCACATGATCATCTTACTAGGTGCATAAAAAGCTTTCAACAAAATTCAACATCTTTCATGATAAAAAAAATCCTAAGAAACTAGAAATAGAAGGATCTAATCTCAGTATAATTAAGACATCGAGGCTATATGTAAGAAGCCCACAATCAACATCATAATGATTGGGGAAAAACTGAAAGTAATTCCTCCAAAGTCAGAAATGAGACAATAACCATTTATGTTGAATATAGTACTTAAAGTTTTAGCCTGAGCAATTTGAGAAGAAAGAGGAATAGAAAGGGACACAAATAGAAAAGAACCAAAGTATTCCTATTGCAAATGATTCACTCCTTCACTTAGATGACCCAAAAAGTTCTACCACAAGACTTTTATATCTGATAAATTCAACAAAGCAGCAGGGTAAAAAATTAACATGTAAAAACCAGTAGCTTTTCTATACATTAATAATAAACCAGTTGAGAAAGAAATCAGGAAGACAATTTCATTCATGACAGCTCCGAAACATGAATAAATGAAATTAAATACTTAGGAGCAAGGTTGACGAGGAGATGAAGGATCTCTATAAGAAAGCTGTGGAACACTGAAGAACGAAATTGAAGAAGACATTATAACATGGAAAGTCTGCTCATGCCCATGCGTCGGCAGAACGAATATTGTCAACATGGCCATATTACCGAAAGCAACCTACAGACTCAATGCAATTCCCATAAAAATATCAATGACACTCTTCACAGAACGAGAAAAAAATAACCCTAAGATTTATATGGAAGCACAAATGATCCAGATGAACCAGAGCAAGAAGAGCACTGGACGCATCTCAGTCCCAGATTTCAAAATATACTACAGAGCCATAGGAACAAAACCAGCATGGTCCTGGCACAAAATAGTTACGTAGGCCAGTGGAGTAGAGTGGAGGAGCCAAACAAAGCCTTACAACTACAACGGTCTGGTACTTGAGAAAGGTGCCAAATCACATATGGGGTAAAAGACAGCCTCTTTGACAAATGATGCTGGAAATACTGGATATCTGTATGTAGAAAATTGAAGGTAGATCTCTATCTCTCATCCTACACAAAAATCAATTCAAAGTGGATCGAAGACAAAGGTACAGGATCAGAAAGTTTGAAACTACTAGGAAAAAGCAAGAGAAACAATTGAAGCCATTCACAGATGCCAAGATTTCCTGAAACGAATTTCAACAGCATGGCAAATGATAGCAGGAATCCATACATGGAGTTATACCAAAGTTAAAAGCTTTTGCGCACCAGGGGAGACTTAGCAAAGTGAAGAGAAATGACAGAAATATTTGCCAGTTACTATTCTGATGGAGGAGTGATACCCAAAAGATATACAAAGAACTCAAAAACACCGAAAGAAAAATCAAAATGTGGGCAAATGAACTGAACAGATACTTCTCAAAAGAAGCACAGATGGCCAATAAAAATATGAAAAAATGTTTGATATCTTTAGCTATCTGGGAAATGAAAATGAAAGTTACATTCAGACTCTATCTCACCCCAGTCGGAATGGCTATCATCAAAAATACCCAAAACTAAGTGCTGGCTAGGATGTACAGAAAAAGGAACACTTCTACAGTGCTGGTGGGAATGTGAATTAGTATGAGTACCATGGAAATCAGTGTGGAGGTTCCTAAAACACTAAAAGTAGAACTACCATTTGCTCCACCTATCACATTCCTTGGTGTGTGTGTGCGTGTGTGTGTGTGTGCGTGTGTGTAATATATAT